GTTGGGACAAACTTTTATTTGTGTGAGCGCAAACCACTTTTAAAAAGTCTGTTAAAAAATTAAAAGGTTCAAGACAGCAAGCACAGCTTTTATGTGTGAGCACAAAACTTTTTAAGAGAGTGAACACTTTCATGTGCGTGAGAGTAAAAAACATATATGTGTGTTAGCGCAAAAACCTTAAGAGAACGCCCACACACATACGAAAACAGCCATCATCAAGAGAAAGTTCGATACAGCGAAAGAGGTATTACTTTAAACGAACTGCGTGCAAACGGTTACTGAATCGTCAACGGTAACTCCGCAATCGAAAATTTTCTAAGTGCGTAATATGTATGCCACTTTCTCGGAGGAACAATCGGAGAACAGAAGATGGCAGACTTGCGTGATGCACGGCCGCAGACAGAATCGCCATTCACATGTTGCGCGGTACTGAGATTTTTTCGGCCCATGGTACGTCAAGATTGGTCGTAAAGAGGTTAAAAGATCAAGGTACCAATCTTGTTGGAGCAGAGGACGTATCAGACAGTTGTACAGTGATCAAGGAACCAATCTTGTTGGAGCAGAGGACGTATCAGACAGTTGTACAGTGATCAAGGAACCAATCTTGTTGGAGCAGAAAATCAACTGAAACAAGCAATCACTGAAATGGATGACGACAAGATCAGATCTGAACTTCTACAGAACTATGTTGATTGGATCAAGAACACACCTGCGGCAATTCATTCTGGGGGAGCTTGGGAAAGACAAAATACTGTCGGTAAGGAACATCGTAGCAGCCCTGATGAAAGAGCATGGATCTAGACTCAATGAAGAATCGCTTACTGCATTTATGTGTGAAGCGGAAGCAGTTTTAAACAGCCGTCCACTTGCAGCTTTTAGACACGATCAACGATCCCCTATCTCCAATACCGCTTAGTCCAAGTATGCTGTTAACCGGAAAGTCAAAGATCGTCTTAACACCACCCGGCCACACGTCTGTCTCCAAGTATGCTGTTAACCGGAAAGCCAAAGATCATTCGACCGCTCCTGGCAAGTTCCAAGCTCAAGACGTGTTCTGTAAAAAGAGGTTGCGACGAGTTCAACATACAACAAACCAGTTCCGGAACAGATGGAAAATAGAGTACCTCCAGAACCACCAAGCAAGGCCGAAATGGAGGCAGAAGAGCGATACGTAACTTTGCCAATGGAGACAGAGTACTGAGCAAAGGACAGTGGCAGTCAGTAAATCATTGGGCCTCTAGCTTAAGTGATAAGTGCACACCCAGATGATCAAGGTTTGGTCAGATCAGTTACCGTTAGCACTTCCAAGGGCTCAACACTGGATCGCCCAATAGCGAATTTGGTCCTTGGCTTAGAGGCACAACAGGAAGAACCGGGAATTCCCGACAAGGAGCCATAGACAAGAACTGAAAGAGCTGAATTAACTAATTAACCGGTTTAGACGGTACGATTTTCGCCTACAACCATCTTATACAACACGCTCGCGCCATCCTACAACTCGAGTCGTACCGTGTAAATCAAGCCTACAACTCGCCTACGACAGACGCGAGCGTGTTGTATACGATAGTTGTAGGCGAAAATCGTACCGTCTAAACCGGCCTTAAAGGAAAGGAAAGGAAACGGAAAAGCATTAAGCGGTTAATGCCAAATATTATTGGTTTACCTGTGTTACGGACTCGAGGGAGACTGAACACAACTAAGTCGGATAGAGCAGTAACGCCTGTCGAAAAGCGAACTCATCAAGTCAACGTGTCAAACGTTGTCTTTGATCTGTATTGTGGCTGTTGTTTTCCATCTGTTTTCTAACCCTATGGCTACGTGTATCTATTAGTGGTTTTCCTTAAGTATCTGGTTTCGAGATGCCGAACGGGGAAAATATAGATAGGTCGTGCTTTTGCCGCCACTTCACAACATTTACCCACGTCATTGGAATCTTCACATCAGTAGGTAAACAAAAACACATAAATTTAATCGTCAAATAAACTACATGAAAGACTTATTTCAAAACGAAATGCTATAAGAAAGAGAGTGTTTCTCAGTGCATTTAATTAAGATTAAGACGTGTATGGGAAGACTTGGTAAATTATTAATGACATCAGCTGTTTTTTTCCGTCAGTTCAAAGTTCTTCTTTTGAAAAATATGCATTGATTCTGTAAACATCTTATTTATAGTTATCTACCAATCATGTACATAGACACTTAAAACAACATCTTTTTTATGAAATCTTAGTATCCATGCATAAAATCCAAATAAAGCCATTTAGGAGTGGGTTGGCTTGTTAGTTGGCCATTTGGATGGCACATTAATTAATATATTTCATTTTACAATCACAAACCGTGTTTTACTTAAATATAAAAAGTGGTAGACTTTGGTCAAAGGCTATCCAGACTTTAAATTTACTGCAATTTCTCTATTAAGCCCCCCAGCCTAAGCCCTCCTCCCCCTCCTTCTAAGCCAGTTAGTACCAAAAAAGGTACTAAAAATAAAAAAAGCCCCCATCCTCATAATCCCCAAACCCTAAGAATTATTTTGGCCCTTTTCCCTTGGCAGGCCTTTGAAAGTCATTTCACCTGTTGAGATAATTAATAAAAGCACAGTAATAATGAATTTATAAAGATCATAAAAATCTAATAAGTCACTAGCTTCTAATAAGCCCCCCCTCCCCCTTCTAAAAAGTCCTCAGTCCAAAAGCACTGGAAAAAAATTAGTCTCCAGGGGGCTTAATAGGGGAAATAAAATACCTCAAAAGCCAGGCCCCAAATGCTCATTTTGTGGTTTTATTCTTGCATTAATCTTGAGATATCAAAGGATTATACCCATTCGCATGATAAATATCAAGCATTTTTGCATTTTTCTTTTCATTCTGAAAAAATAAATTACTCATTAAATCACACTTTTAAAAACTTTATCTTGGCAGAAGCCAAGCTCCAGCTGTTATATGGGTCTTAGCATTATGAAAATTGGTGTGGTACTAAGAGTTACTTAATGTGTAGGCTTTCCAGAAATTATCCATACCGACCCCCCTCCCCAACGGAGAATTTTTTTTCAGACCTCTCCTCCCCCTTACCCCAAGAAATTTCAATTTTCTTCCTTACAAACTCTGTAATTTTGTTTTTACCCCTACCCCTTGGAAATTCCAAATTCTTCTGTGGGGAAGGGGATATGGATAATTTCTGGAATTATCGTAATTTCAATAGTTGATAGACTGATGTCAGTGATAAATATAACAAAATATTTTTATTTTATTTCAGCCATGTGGTGGGTTGGTGTAATGTTTACTGACAAACCAGACAAAAGAATTGCTGTTTATCTTCTGTAAGCTTTGATATGTAGATAATAATTTTTGTTGAGCTTGCCATGAGAATTATATATTTAAACTCATAGCATTGACAGCAGTGGTAGTGGTAGTCAATGTCATGGAAACTCTTTGAAGTCCACCAAAGTCATATTTTTTGATGCCGATTTACGAGATGCACTTCTTATCTTTTATGTCCTATTAGTTGATTGATTAAACAAAAATGAATGAGTAAATGAATCTTGTTTCTACATAAAGTACACTGCAATGAAAGGCATGCTTTGCCAATTAATGTACAAATTGAGGTGGTTAAGATATAATCTAAAAATAATATAATTACGTTTGTTTGGTTTTCAGATTGTGTGCAATAATAGTGTCATTTCTTGAAGTAGTATTCTTATTAGATAAATGTGCCTTCTGCAGGTATGTGATATTTTAGATAAATCAAGTATGTTAATACCTCTTATCTCACTTGAAACTCATCATTACCATCACCATCATCATCATCACCATAACCATCATTATCCATATTTTACAGCTCATCAAATAGAAATATGACCATATTAATGTATTTGCATACTTCGGGCAACCTGCAATGTAATAACTGTCACAAATGACTAATCAGGGCGCAGCTCTTCCATTCTGCAAACTACTCACCGTAAATCCTTTATTTAGCTCATTTAGCTATTGTAACTCAGGATTAAACGGAAGCATTACTATTGACCGTCTTGCATAATCTGTAGTGATGTACATGGCATTTCTATTATTTGATTCACCTGTGTTAGTCTCTCAAGTATAATTTACGATTATTGTGAATAGCAAAACTAAAACATGGTAACATTAACAAAGCAAGCTAAAAAGAAATGTTCTGAACAACCAAGACTTTAATAAATCACCTTTAATCAGTACAAGTGATTCTT